ACGCAAATGGCAATCAGGAGACATGAGTCTGCTTTCAGTGTCTGTATGGCCTCAAGGCTGCCCTTCGAAGTCCATATACACAGTTGGAGGAACAGCAGAATTTTCTTGCCTATAGCATATACAGTAGAAGTTAGTTTATCTGGATTTCTCACAACTAGAATTTTATACACCTGGACTTCTTGTCTGCAATATTAAAAATCATTGGTCTAATAACTAGAGTCCAAAATAATGGAAATACAGCAGTTTGAAATGCTTCGTTTAGCATTAGTTATCAAAAATTTGTCAATTAATTGCTTCTTTTTGTTTTTGAAAATGGGAGGGTATCGTGGGAAAAATGGACATTTTACAAATTAAATGTATTTTGTTTGCTTACTAAATGGCACCACTCAGTCTTTGTCTCTGCATAAGGTAATAGAACATTCACATTCCCTTTACTTCATTTTGAAGACCTCTTACTTAAAGTCACGTAACATATTTGCCTGTTAAACTCTGCAAGGTGGTGTTTGCAAAAAAAAAATTAAATTTTTTTTCTCTTACACTTAATACAATTAAAAATGGTAAAAGAATAAGAGAATGAGAAAAACATTTAATTGCAACGCTTTAAATCAAGTTTTCACAAGTGGAACCAGCTCTTTATATGCCTACTTTCAGCTAAACCTAACAAATAACAATTTTAAGTGGCAAACTTATCTTATACTATGCAAAATCCATCCTACATTTTCATATCCTGCATTTTATTTTGTTACATAATATTCTGTGGTTAGTTTTCTAGTTTGATTTATTTAATAATATTAAAATCATTTATTTTCTGAAAACCTAACTAAATCTACGTCTTACAGCATTATCATGGTTTTGCCCAGTTATATACATGCTCTCATGATCACCTTTTCTATTACCTTATGAACTACATACTAGTTAAATAATCAACATTTATAGATGGATGAATAATTCAAGTTTTGAAATAAAGGTTAGATAGTTCTAGAAAACATGTATTTACATCCTTCCCTGTCGGGCTTAAACAATCTTATTTTTTTTTCTTTTCACTTTGACACTTCAGAAAGTGAGGGGCACATTGATAGCCCCTCTGACTTCATCTAGCAGCAGAACCTCCCAGTTCTTCTACTGGTTTGTCCTTGGCATTGGGAATATGCATGCTTTCCATGTCACATGCTGCTTTTAGAAGGTATTGATACGTACATTGTAACACTTAGAACACTGTCTCTTCTTTTCTGCATCTCAACATACAAATGTTCAGTCATTCTTCCCGATCTACTAAGGAAGAATCTCTTCTTTCTAGTTTGTACATGTTAATGTGATTTCAGCTTGTATTTTTGTTTTCATTCTCTTTCAAGAATATTACTTGAGAAAGAACCCTCATCCTAACCCATGCCACTAAAATTTGGAAAACCAAATGTTACTCAGCCATCCAAGCACCTCTTTATGGTGCAGGACGCTTTGTGGTTCTGGGTCTAGTCTAGAGAACATCTTTTCTCATTTAAGAATTAAAGAATGGTTCTTTAAGCAACCATTTAGTTGTACAGTGTTTCCTTGTCTGTAAATAGGATTCCCCAAGATAGGCTAGGCTACACAATTTGGTGATTTAAAAAAATATAGTCTGTGTAATTTTACTACTAATTTTCTTAATTGGTTTTGCATATTTGCATTGATACAATCAGCTTCTGGGATTTGATATCCTGATGTCCTTTGCAGGCTTCAATTGGCATTTTAAAATTTCATTCTACTGGGTTGAATAAGTTATTGTTTTAGAACAGATAAAACTAGTTTTTTCTTCCTTTCATTCACTCTCAAGTATGTTTTTCTAGGAGACAAAAACAAAACAAAAGAGAAATCCTAAAACAACTGAAATCAAAGATGTACTACAGAAAGCCTTCAAAAGAAAAAAAGTTTTTGTGAAGCATTTTGGGTCATCTTGGGTTATACTTGAATCTATTTCTAGTTATTAGTGGTAGACTACCTGATATGTAAGTGTTTTGTGTTCTCAGAATAGAGACTACATCACTGAATACATTCTATTACCTTCACAGTAAAACATTTATTTTTCTTTCCTTCTCAAAATAAGTGATTCTTTTTTCCATATCCCAGTAAAAATCATATGAATATAGCAAATCAGAAGAAAAAAAATCAAGTTCTAGTATCCAACAAGGGTGCTGTCAGTGGTAAGTTGTTATAGATTTATCTAGAAAGGGAGGCTTATTTCCAAATGTTCATAAGAACTGATGTGAAGTCCCCTTCCTCTGGAGACTCCTCTAAATGAGTGGGAAAATTTGAAGATGTTGGGCTTTAGCCCCTGAGTCATTCCGTGTCTTCAGCCCTGAAAAGTTCATGGTTGAACATCACTGGAAGGGTTCTTACAAACCTCTCCCTTGCTCTATTTCACTCTTATAGCTTACCTGATTTCTCATAACTTAGTAAGAAACCAGTTCCAGCACCTCCAAAGTTCTTGGCCAAAGACCAAAAACCTGCTGTTGATTGAGAATCCAGATAGGCCAATTAGCCAGTGAGGCAATATCCTTCTAGACCAGTACGTGTTTGGATGGTAACACTGAAACGGTCGTATTAGTCAACTTCAGTAACTTGTAGGTTGTTTAATTCATGTTTCAAATGGATTCATGGGAGATCTTCTAACAAACAACTGATTTTATGATGACCACTCACAAAATAGTCCATCAAATCTTATTCCTTGGACTTATGGGGAAATTCAAATGTCATTCCAAATAAATCCAGACTTAAAATCATTAAGTTAGGGATAATATTGTATTTATGTTGATGTTCCCCATTTACACAGTGCTTTTAGTAGACTCTAAATAAGTATCAGTTGAAAAATAAGGGTGTTGAATGGATGGATTGATTTACTTTTTCAAAACAGGCAGAAACCTAAATCTCTTTCCATTTTTTTCTCTCTCTAAACTCTGTTTTACCAATGGAGATTTTTAGTCTTGTTGCTTTCTTTTTGGTAATATACTTGAATTTGATCCCAACATTTTAACGTTGGGGAAAAAAAAATAATCCTAATGATTGCCCACACAGATTTTCCTAGAGAGACTACCCAATTTTCCTAACTGTTGACCTTATTAGGTCTCTTGTTCCTGGAGACTCATTCCTACTATTTGTTCACATTGCTCATCTTAACTCAGTAGGTATTCTTTTAAAAAGATACATAAAAAGATGGTTCTAGAAGTAGGATGATGTGTTAGAAGAGAGTGTTATTGTACAAAGTATCAAAAGATTAGTATGTTGGATATTAAAATAATTACATGAGAAATTTTTCACCTTTATTTACAACTTTTGACCCAAGAACCTATCTATAAACTGCAAATGTTTGTGTATTTCTTTTTATTATACCAATTTATGTGCAAAGAGTTACCTTCTACTTAATATAAATAGAGTCTCATACTAGAAATTCCATGGAATCAAGCCAATCCTTACTTGCATTCCTTCATGTGGAGTATACAAACTGGATAATTTTCTTTGCGTAGCAAATATGATATCACTTGTAGATAATGTGCTGGACCTCTCACCATATTCTCTTGATACTGTTCCAAAGTCCTAATTTGCTTGGTTTGGCATTTCCACAGTCTTTCCTTATCTTAGCTCTTTTAAAAATGTACTTAAATTAGTTATTTTGCTGGTTGCTTCCATATTGCTTCATTCAAAATCCAAAATGGAGTTCAGAAAGAGAACAAATAAAATTATAGCTTAAGTGCAAACTACATTTCTGAGTTTCTGTCAAGTAGACATACCCAATCCAGTGTGTCTCTTCCAGTTCAATGGATTCCCCATTGGACCACCCCTGAAAGTGTCAGTAGTTTTCATGAACCACACAGAACTGTCTCTTAGTTTCCCTTTAACTCTTTATATTCCAACTGCCTATTGAGTACTGTCATTTATGGAGAAGAAAATGTTGACGAGTGTAGAGGATGTGGGGGGTACATATTCAATAGATTTACGTTACATTTGACTAATATCTTGGCCTCCCCTTCTAATTTTAAAGACTATAATATTTAAAATAATGGCCATTCCACCATATTAAAATATTTTTTACAATGCTGTCAATTTATAGCAACACATGAGAAACATTGATGTAAAAATATTTGCAATTAGAAAGTAAAGTCAAAATATAGGAATAAAAGTAATATAAAAGGACAGACTGAAACAAAGCAAAACAAAACCCTCCAAACATAATTACTAGCTATAACTTTGAGAGAGATCTAAAAATTATGGAAGCTGAGTTGGCCATTCTTGCTTGTCAGGATAGAAAGTGTTGAAGAAAGAAACTAGATTTTCAATCTCAGTTACTATCATATGTTACAGAAAAGTTTATCCTTTTTTTTCTAATGGAAACTTTATTAGGATTTCCAAAGATACTGAAAATGTACACATCAGTTCCTGTAGATAGGAACAGATAGCATGGGTCTTTCAAGCATCTGCATTAAAAGAAAGAAAGAAAGAAAGAAAGAAAGAAAGAAAGAAAAGAAAGAAAGAAAGAAAGAAAGAAAGAAAGAAAGAAAGAAAGAAA